GCTCCCCTCTCTAACTAAAGACTTCTTTAAAGGTATTTCCTCGGAAGAAGAAGTTCAAACAAATGGTCTAAAGAACGCGATCACATAAACAGAATTTGTGCAGATACGACATATCAGAGCCAGACACCAGACTATGTGCTGGCAAGGAGGTAGACACGAGGCGGTATGCCAGTAAGGACGTTGGGCTCCAAATGGGGGTGGATTTAGTGGTGGGTCTCACATTGATTAGAGAAAGGAACGAGTACCAACGAGAATGCTAGGCCCTGAAGGGGGTGGATTGTGATGTCCCACATTGTTCGGGGAAGAGAACAAAAACATTATTTATAAGGGTGTGTTAAGTTGTGCTAACACATTATTTTCTTTTTAATTATTTTTAGATAATATTAAAGAAAAATCCAAAATACATTTTTTTCACTGATTATTAAAAATAATTTAGAAAACCCTAAATAAAAAATTAATTGGTCATGGAATTTACCCAATTTTATTTTAAATTTAAATTACATAAAATCCAATAAACCATTGGGCCCACTTAAGCCCAATAAAGACAAAGCCCAACATGTAATGGGTAAAGTACCATTTGAAGCCCATATTTCAAAAAATAATGGCCCAATCTTTTGAAGCCCAACTAATTCTTCAATTTACCAATTCCATAATTTTTTTAGAAAAAATAAATCGATATATTATATATAAATATAAATTTTATATTTAACGGAATCCTAAACCCTTAATATTCTGTTGTGATAAATTAGTAAATTTTTTAAAAAAATATATTTAATAAGTTTTTTAAACATAAAATTAAATATTAAACAGTTTTTAAGTTTGAAAATTAATTTCTAATTTAACCTTTTTTTTTCTAAGGAAAAAATAGGGTATATGTGTAATTTAACCTTTTAATGGCCCAAATAAATATAAGGCCCAAACACCTTTGCCAGTCATTCTTCTGCTGCGATATTCTTCTTTCGCTCGCCGGATTGCTTCTCAGCCGCTGACCGGAGAACCGACGCTTTGCAATCGAGGTTTCAGCCATGGCTACGTTGGATTCCGATGTGCCGATGGTTCCCGCGGGTGAGGCTTCGAGTAGTGCTGGCCCTTCGTCTTCCAAAAAACCTAAGCGATTTGAGATCAAAAAGTGGAATGCTGTCGCTCTCTGGGCTTGGGGTACTTTCAAACCCTAATTTCAACTTCTCTGATTTCTGATTGATTCCTTTTGCGTTTGGATGTTTCTTACTGATTCTTGTCTGTGTTGTAACGCAATTGTGATTTATTTTTGCAGATATTGTTGTCGATAACTGTGCAATTTGTAGGAATCATATCATGGATCTCTGTAAGTTGAAACAATTTTTAGGGTTTTAAATGTTCGTTTTTTAATCTTCAATTCTAGATTCTGTTTTGGATGGTAATTTGATGTTTCTCACTGTTGTTTCCATACGATTTGTTTGGTGTTTAGGCATTGAATGTCAAGCGAATCAGGCGAGTGCCACTAGTGAGGAATGTACCGTCGCCTGGGGTATGCTATTACGCCTCTTTTCTAAAACCTTAATATTGATTTTAGTTTCCTTGTTTGAGATGGTTTGGGAGCTCTGCGTGCTATATTTTCTTTCCTTTTCTGTGAAATATGACCGATGTTCGTGCATTTTGCAATAGATATTAATCCCAGTGACTAGAAAATCATCCTGAGCTACTGATTTTTCTTAATTAAACTGCTAAACAATAACAGTTATCTTGTCGAATGGACCTTTCTTTTGCTTGTTTCATGCGGTTATTCAAACTTCAGAAGCTTCATATCAATCTAGGATTTTCGGTGGTGATTTGTCTTTGTCATTTGATCTCTTGTGTTATTGTGGCATTTTCTTTTGGGGATTAGGCCTTTATCTGCCTCTGTGTTTTGGGTTTGCTCTTGATTAAGATTCTTGTTTGCAGGGGTATGCAACCATGCTTTTCACTTCCACTGCATTAGTCGTTGGCTGAAGACTCGCCAAGTTTGTCCATTGGGTATACTTTATAAGCTTTAATGGGTCTAATACATAGAACTGTATGAAATTCTGCTTCTTCTTGATTAAGCTTTTGTGATGTTCTTCAGATAACAGCGAATGGGAGTTCCAGAAGTATGGACATTAGGACCTTCATACCGCTGCAATGCCAAAGGTCAGACAGACAAATACTCTACTTGAAATGTCTAATTGTTGAAAATCTGAACAAATGTCCAATCCCCAAATCCTGTTGTGTTCAATTGTGTGCCTTTTCATATCCGAAGCAGATTAAAATGAGTACTTTATTCACAAATGTGAACCTTAGACATTACACTACAAGTATTGACCTAAATGTTTACATTCCTTATTAAATATCTTGATGAAAGTTCTTTCTTCCTGTGAGCGTCTACTATGGCTTTATTGAATTAGTTATTTGAAATGGGATTGTGGATACTTGTATCATAGGGAGCAATGTCCTAAGGTCGATCATTATATTTTTATAAAGTAATTCGTCTGACGTCAATAAGCGACAATTTGACAATGCTAGATATGTGTTTGAGTTTGTTTGGTGTCTTTTTGTAACGGCTCAAACCCACTAGATAGTCTTTTTTGGGCTTTTCCTTTCTAGCTTTCCTTCAAGGTTTATAAAACGTGTATGCTGAGGAGAGATTTTCACACCTTTATAAATAATTTTTTGAGCTTTTCCTTTCTAGCTTTCCCTCAAGGTTGTTTTTAAAACGTGTATGCTAGGGAGAGGTTTCCACACCTTTATAAATAATTTTTTTGAGCTTTTCCTTTCTAGCTGTCCCTCAAGAGTTTTAAAACGTGTATGCTAGGGAGAGGTTTCCACACCCTTATACTCCTCTCCAACTCACGTGGGACCTCACACTTTTCAATATAGTTTTCATTGGTTAAAAAGTTTCAATCTAGTCTATACGTTTTATCTTTTTTCAATCATATTCTTCGGTTGATTTGCACGTTAGGATTGGTGGATTGGTTGATTAATCTTAAGGAGAAAAGTATCTAATTTGCTCCATTTTCTTAAGGAATTGGATCATCTCAAGGAGGAAAGTATCTAATTCCTCTGTTTTCTTAAGGAATTGGCCAAGGCTTGTAGCCCTCCGAAGAGGTATAAACAAAACGTAGTCGTTTGTGTATTCATTGTTCTACATTTTAATAAACAAAACGTAGTCGATTGTTTAATAAACAAAACATAGTCGCAAATGTAAAAAGGGCATTTTTGGTATTTTAAAAATAAAATGTTCCCACTAATTTGTCAAAAAAGACAAAAATTGACTTCGACCAAATAGAGTTGAATAACTCAACCTATTTGATATTACCTCAAAGTTTTAAAACAAGTTTAAGAATAAAAAATTGGCCTACAAATTAAATTATCATCAATATTTAACCCATAAATTTCAATCTTATGGGGATGAATGACTATGGGAATTACCAAAGTCAAAAGGGCCAAACAAATTTTCATATTTTATAACTTTATTTGAGAGATTATTATAAGCTCAATCAAACCCATCACCTAGATATCCAAATTTCGTAACAAAAACCTTAAATTATTTTCAATTCTATGAATACGAGTAAATATATTTTTTTTTTTTTTAAAAAAAATTCATACGGTGTAAATATAAAATTTTGAAATATATGTTTAGATATGCACCAAAAAAAAAGAGGTAAATTTAAATACTTACTGTTAGCCCGTGGGTAAATTATTATTATTATTCAATCAATTTTAATAGGTAAATTATTATTATTATTATTCAATTAATTTTAATAGAAATAATTCTGAAAGACACATTTTAAATTGTTATCGGAAGTATAAGAATTAAAATAGAATGAAATTGAAAATGTATATACAAACCATCGAATATGAAAATATATTAATTTAATTTATTTAAAATATCAATGAGTTGGTGGGGCCCACTCCACATATTTTCAAACTTATATATAAAGACATGACATGTTGGTCTTATCCAAAGTATTGTAAAAGTTGTATTGCTCTAATAATTAATTCTTTTTTCTCAACATAATTATCTAAAATTGCAAATGATTTTATTAATATATATATATTCTCTTGGATTATTTGATAAAATATGGGGAAAATTGGTGTAAAAACATTGATAAAAAAATTTGTTTATATAAATAAATTATATATATATATATATATATATATATATATATGTATGTATATATAATATATAAGCTAAGAGCACTAACAATTTAGAATGAAAGCGTGACGAAACGCACTTCAAAAACACTTTTAAAAAGCAAAACGAACATTAAAATATATATACTTTTTTGATAAAGCACTTATTATTAAAATATTTTTACTAGACTCGACACTCTTAAATGTCATCTAAACGTGCTAAAGTGAACATTCAGTAATAATTGACATGTATATTTTTGTTTGAGAACGAAAAATTTTGGACCGGAAAAATCATCGTCTCGACAAAATTAAAGGGTTGAAGCCATAAAAAAGTCTTCCACTTGGATCAAAGAACAAACGTCTATGTTATTCAAAAAAATCCGAACCAGCCGAACTTTATACAGTTGAGTTCATTATTTAATCATGATGGCTCGAGTTGGAAAAAAACCTACCATTCGAATAATTATATTAAATTTAATTATATTAAATTTAAAAAAATGTTTCAACTCGATAACCTAAAGACATCATATTTAAGAAAAAAATATATGCCGTTAGAAGGGTAAAATAGTAATTTCACAAAGTTTACTTATTCGTAATTCCAAAATGGAGGGTTAAAAATATTAATAGGGTTGGTGAGTTGTCTCATTTGAATTGGTCCTTTTCTCCCATCAACTTCAAATATTTATATTAAATTATTATAATATATTCTAATAGTCATCTAAATTTTTTATTTTTTATTTAATAAATTTTTAATTCGTTTAAATTAATAAAAAAAATTAAAGGGTCTAATAATATAAAATTGATGACATAAATTTATAATTTTATAATATTTTTATGAGAAATCAAATCTTTTTGTGATAAAAAAAAAAGGAAAAAATTATAACAAATGAAATTCCGCACAATATCTCTATCTACATATCTGATCATTTACACGACTATTCCAAATCCAACGGCCCTAAGGTCTTCGGTCGCCGTTGCCACCTCTAGGGTGCAACACTGAGCTCGTCGGCCGTCGGTTGCCGTTCCTCACCCCATTTTCAGGCAATGAATTCGGCGATCTGGGGTGTCGGAGATGATGATTTTGTCCTCTATGATGACCATTTTCGTGATGCCCTTCGTCGTTCACTTTCTTCCTCTCTTCTTTCGGAGTTTCGCTTCCCTTCGATGTCGGAGTCTTCTCCGGCATCTCGAAAACAAAAGTTCCAATAGGCATGTCTTGGTAATCCTTTAATGGCTCCAAGATTTTCACCACTTCGTTCATCGTCGGTCGTTGCTTCGGGCGTTGGCTTAAACATTGATATGCCAATGCCGCTGCCTTTCTTGCTCCAATCTCCGAGTACTGTCCTTCTAGTCTCGTGTCCATGATCCGACCCAGCTTTCTAGGGTCATTCAACATTGATCTAGCAAACTCAACCAAATTCTGCTCTCGATGTGGCCGATTCTTCTCTAACGACCGTCGTCCCGTCAACAACTCCAAAAGAACCACACCGAAACTATATACATCACTCATAGCCGTCAAATGACCTAAAAGAACAAACAACATTAAACAATGTTTCTAAAACTAAACAGTTACCAACCAAGACAAAAACTAATAGATCAATCAAACTCACCTGTCATAACGTACTCGGGAGCGGCATAGCCTTCAGTGCCCATGACTCGGGTCGAGACATGGGTGTCATCTCCATCAGGGCCATCTTTAGCGAGCCCGAAATCGGAAAGCTTTGCGTTGTAATCGGAATCCAACAAGATGTTGGAAGCTTTGAAATCTCTGTAAATTACTGGTTTTGCTGCTCCATGAAGGAAGGCCAGTCCCTTGGCAGCTCCTAAAGCTATTTTCATTCTAGTTGACCATGGCAGTGACACTGAAAATCCTGTAAAAATAATTAAAAAAAATAATAATTAATCAATTATCCATTAATAAATTTAAATAAAAAAAAACCCATTTATTTTAAAATTATTTTTTTAAAAAAAATTGAAATTTTAAGAATTACTTACTTCTAAAGAGCTGGTTCTCTAAGCTGCCCCTTGGCATGTACTCATAAACCAACACCCTGTGTTCATCTTCACAGCAATATCCAATCAATTTCACTAGATGTGGATCTCGCAATTGTCCCAAGAAAATCACCTCCGTCTACAAAAACCGAAAATAAAATGAGATAAGATAACTACAAATGTTCGTTTAATCTATAGGAGCCCGTTTCAAAGGGAGTGGAGATCACTGCTTAAACGGAAAAAACGAGATGGGTCGGGAGAGATTTCTCCCTGTTAGTTAAACAGGGTTTGAGACAAGAATTACATTTCATGTCCCTATCCCTGCCTCGACCCTGCTCAAATCTTCGTTCAAATGTGAGAGAGGTTAGGGAGAGATTTCTCCTCGTTAGTTAAAATGGGTTGGAGACGAAAATTACATTTGATGCCCCTACCCCGACCCTGCTCAAATCTTCGTTCAGTTGTGAGAGGGGTCGGGGAGAGATTTCTCCCCATTAGCTAAACAGGGTTTCATATCTCCATCCTTGCTCCGGGTCGGGGAGAGATTTCTTCCAATTAGCTAAACAGGGTTGGAGACGAGAATTACATGTCCCTATCCTTGTTCGACCTTGCTCAAATCTCCGTTCAAGTGTAAGAGGGGTCAGGGAGAGATTTCTCCCGATTAGCTAAACAGGGTTGGAGACGAAAATTACATTTCATATCCTCATCCTTTCTCCGACCCTACTCAAATCTCCACTCAAATACGAGAGGGATTAGGGATAGATTCCTCCCTTAGCTAAACTGGGTTGGAGACAAGAATTACATTTCATATCCCCATCCCTACCTCAATCCTCCTCAAATCTCCGTTCCACCTATATATACACACACATACATACATATCGAGATTAGCTCAAGTTTTTTCAAAACGACTTACCAACCACTCGCGGTGGCCTTGAGATCCATCCAAGTCCAAGAGCTTGACAGCAACAGGCTGAGCCTTGAGGCCGACCCGAAGCTTGTCATCGATGAACCCCTTATAGACCGGTCCGAAGCCACCTTCTCCGAGGAAGTTACCGGTCGAGAAGCTCTGAGTCATAACCTTAATCTCTCCCAAAGTGAACATGTGAATATTGCAGCCAGCCAGAGATACAGAGAGATCCTCCGAAAGAACAGAATTTGGATTGCTCAAATCCACCATAGAAAGCCTAGTGAAAGAACTCTGCTTCGCCGCCACCCTCTTCCCCGCCTTCGCCGGCAACCCGCCGCAGCAGAACGGCGGCAGAAACGACCTCCATGATACCTTCTTCTTCATCGATCCGAATTTGAGATGAAATTAGATGAAATTAGATGAGAGAATTTGAAGAAAATTTGAATTTATAGAGAAAATACAGAGAAGAAACAAGCATGCAGCTTCTTCAATGGCGTCTCCATTAAATAAATAAATTAATAATTATTTTATTTTATTTTGAATAATTCCGCAATACCGTGTATATATTATTATTTATAAATATTATGTGAATTGTGTCGGATGAAATGGAATGAAGGGTCAAAAGTCAAAATACGGTTTGAAAGCAAAATGACGTGGCTACCCCTTTGACTTTTTTTATATTTTTATTTTGGAAGAAAAAGGGATTAAATTATTGGTTGATTTTGTCTACTTTGAAAATCTAGATGATCAAAAGAACTTTCCTATTTATTTTCTTTTTTTTAAGACCTTATTTAATATTTTATGATGTTGGTTCATATTTAAAAAATACTTATTTACTCATTAAAATATTTTTGTTCTCGAACATCCTCATCAGAAAAATATAGACGAAAATTTAAAAAAAATCATGTTAAATCTAAAAAAAGTAATCGAACTAGACTTGTCCCGAGATTAGGTCCAAATGCAACTAACTCGACCTGTCAAGCTCAACCCAAATTCAAGTCCAATGACCCTAAGGCATTGTTTTAGTTTGGATCGGGTTGACACGACTCCTAATGGCCAAGCCATTGGCTCATTAGACCAAAGTTTGGGTCAAGATCGTCAGACTTGAACTAACCCATTGGATTAAATTATTGACTCGTTTGATACAATTATTTTCATTTATTATTTAATTTTTAACTTTTTAACACGTAAAATTTACAGAAGTTTACGAATAATTATATATATAGATATATTATTTAGGTTGACTGAGTGGTAAGATATTAGATAAGTCTGAGAACAACTTTGTCCGATCCAATAAATAAACGAATCAAATTAGTCAAACTTTGACTTTAAACCGAGCTAAAATCGAGTGTACGCCAACTTAGGGTAACCTTTAGACTTTAGGGGAGGCTAATATGCAGCCATTTTTTCGTTAGTGATTTGGTCAGAAATTACTGTCAAAATGTAACCAAAGTTGGTGATATTGCAATATTTTTTCTCTCTTCTAGAAACTCCTACCCCCTCCAATATATTATCATCAACCCATTCTATGATTTGGATATTACACCCACAATCCTGACCGTCCGATGTGCGTACTTTTAAGAAAACAGCAGATTTGCAAGATGATCAGGATCCTTGCTTCTATCTAAAGTTGACCTTTCCGATCTTATGTGGGTCCCACGTTTCTAGTTGTTGAGATGTGGTCGTGTGTACAGGCTTTTCTTGGCTTCAATTATATATATATATATATATATATATATATATATATATATATTAAATTAATTAGATTTTGTATTTTAATATAAAATATATATTTATAAAACCTTTAGTCATTATTTATTTTTGTATTCTTTTATTTAAAAAATTTAATGGGTAATTTTCATTTAATATTTTTTTTGTTAAGAGCTAATAAATTCAATAATATTTAATAAATTAAAATATAATATAATATTCAACATAATTTCTAAAAATTCAAAAATTTTAACGGACGTGAAAAGAGAACTAGAATAGAGTCTCCGTCTCCGTCCCCATCCCCGTTTATTTCATCCTTTTGAATTAAAATTTAAAATGAAAGTCTATTTGACCGAACAGAAAAAAGGGTTACAAAAATAATGGGCTGGTCGCCTTGTGGTTGATTAATACATTTCACATGGAAAAAAGATCTAATTGGAGGGTAGTTTCGTCAAATTAAATAAGGGGAGTAGGTGCGTGGGGACCACGCGTCGAACTATTGCCCCCAGCTATGAACTAAGTCAATAGACATTTTTGTCATTTACTATTACAACCTTGTCAATCGGGCTCATTCCTCGCTTTTCTTTTTCTTAATAAAAATTTATAATATTAATTTGAAATAATGGTTTTAATGTAAATAAGTAGTATATTATATAAAGTTGGGGATAAGCTTTAAAAGTGGTATTGTGACAATAATAATGGCTTTTGGGCTATCTTAGTTTGTCATCATTGCAAATATTATTCTTTATTAATGGTGGATTGCATTTTCCATTCGCTTTTTCGAGAAAAAAAAACAAAAACAAAAAGAAAACCGTGTTCTGGGCTTTCCATATATGTCTCATATCAATGAAGAGAGTATTCTTTTATTATAAACCCATGATCATTCCCTAAATTAGTCGATGTGGGACTTTCCTCATCCAACGGAACAACCTAAAATCTAAAGCCTACTATTAAACACGCTAAACGCTTAGAATCAATTTGTTAATAATAATAATAATAAGATAAAAGTAGTATTTATGGGCCTACACGAGTTGGATTGGATTGCAATTTTATTTGTCAGGTGATTGAGTTGACCCAGCAGAAAAAGGTCAACTCTCGAATGGACTCAAATTTTAAATTTTCAAAAAATTCAATTTTACAATTTTTTTATATGGACACGGTTAATAATATTTATAAACTATTATCGACTTAAACACAAAAATATATTAATTTTTTTTTTATATAATTTTGCACATTATCTAAGGTAAACAACGCAAGGATATGAGTTATTAAAATAATTTATAAAAAAAAAACATTTATTGGTCTAAAATTTATAACTTGAAATATATATAATTTAGTACTTAAATAAATATTTAATTGATGGGGATTGGTCAAAATATTGTGATGAAAAAAAAAAATAATATCGCAACTACTTAACCCTCTTCGTGGATTTTCATGAAACATGGGAAGTTTTTCAAATATTTGAAAATTTAACACGTTATTATTATTCTTTTTTGACCCAATTTTTTTATTACAATATTATAAATCATTTCCATATTGTCGTCGTATTTACTTTTTTTTTTTTTTTTTTTTTTTTTTTTTTTTTTTTTTTTTTTTTTTTTTTTTTTTTTTTTT